AAAAAAAAAAAAAAAAAGAAAAAAAAAAGACGAATTGTTAGTTGTCGGTTAACAACAATGACAAAACGATAAAAAAAAAATTCAAGAGGCAATAAGAGGAATAATTTGTTAATGGTACAATATTTTTTATTTCGCCTATGAGCTTTGCGTAAATACAAAAATTTCTCCGTTACTTGAAAAAGAGTGTTAGAAGAAAGAAAGACTTTTGATTTGAACAACGACAGGGTAAAGACGAGACAAGATTCTTTTTTTTTGTCTAATTTTTGCTTTCTTTGCTATTTTCCTTTCCGTTCTTTGTTTTGTTTTTGTATCAGTTACAAATCGATACAGTAATAATGAATATCATCTATAAAAATGCGCTAAAGAGATCTGTAGGATTTATGGGTTCATTCGAATAAGCTACAGAAGCCGAAATGTAAACACGGTAAATATGTATATATTCTTCTATATTACTGTGCTGCAATATTAATACCTGCGGTTTTATGGCGCAAATTATAGAAAAAAAAAAATTTTTTTTTTGTCTTGCAAAGAAAAACTAAAGAGGATAGCGATCAAGGCAAATTTGTTTTTGCACTGACAATGCAGTTGCCTTATACTTGGCAGCATTCACCGATTGAACTGGTCAAGCATATTCATACTTGAGACACGGATTAAACCAAACAAGAGTCCAATAACCAGCTAACCAGTTAGCTACAGTCCTACACTGACTCTGTACCAAGCAATCAGCCAGCAGTGACACAACAGTGACGACGACAAGAACAAAGACAATATCATCGTTATCCGTCATCATCATCATCATCATCATCATCATCATCATCATCATCAGCAGCAGCAGAGAGATTGATATGTACGATGTCAGAACAGCGGACTTTACAAGTAAGCGAAAAGAAGAAAGAAAAAAAAAACAAAGTTTATGGATGAATAAAAAAAGAAGCAGAATGTGTTTGCTTTTATCGTCTCGGCAACTTCTTCATAAGAAATGCCGCTGCTGTAGCGACATTGGAACACAGTAACTTGATACGTTCATCACCGATCATGCAGATCAACCAAAAGAGCTGTCACGCATCGGTTAAACCGTCTGGTGCATCAAGAACAAATTTCCGACCGTAATCGTCATTATCGCCACCAAAAAGAAAAAAGATAAAAATAGAAATAAAAAAAATAGATAAATAAGTAAATGAATAAATAAAAATTAAAAAGAAAAAAAGAGGAAAGAAGAGTAACAGAAGTCTAAAAAAATCCGGATCAATTACCTTCTGTTGCTAGAAATTTAACACCTGCTTTGGGATACCAATAAATCGCGCAACAGCATTTTTTTCTCCTTCTTCTCCAACTCCCACCAATTTTCTTCACCTTTTTGTTAAAAAAATAGCCAGTTTTCCGTTTTTTTTGTTTACTGCAGACGGCAAAGAACACAGTACTCAAACAGATTTAGTACTCTAACAAATTGATACCAATTAGAAGACAGTAATTAAGAAGAAAATTTTCTTTTTTTTTCGTTCTTAAACATTTAATTGGTTGTGTTCTTCTTCTGTGTTTTTTTTTTT